GCATTTATGGATGAAGTTCCCTTTAAAAGCAATGACAAATCAATTTGTAGCTCCCGGGCACAAAAACATTACCTCTGCAATTACATTTTCGGTTAATTGTGATAATTGCTACGCTTTGCCTTGCTGTTGGCTACTTTTCGGCCCAAACTGAAAACGGAGTAACATCAAAGCAAAAGGGGAAAGAAAAAACAAAATACAAAACACTCGGATTAAGCCAACAAATTGAGTGGGCAATGGGCGCCACTTTTAGTGTGGGCGCAAAACACTCTAAAAATACTCTACAACAAGTGGGCATTTGAATTACGATATGAAGTGGGTCACACAGGTAAATGTAAACACGAATTTATGTCTTAAAACTATTCTTATTTATTTTTAAAATATTGATACAATGTAATTTTCAATAGTCAAAAGCAAGGGAACGTTGCAAGAAAAGTATAAGAGAACTAAGAAATTTTTGTAATAAATAGAATTTTATTATAGTATTAATATATTTATATTTTTATGATTTAATATTTAAAAAGCCATCAACCGCAAAATTTCAAACTACAATCGCCACATCATCAGTCTTCAAATATTATTCAAGTCATCCCATCGAACTCCAGATCCATTATAAATTATATTCATCGAATTCCGCACATGGCGAAATGAGCTCACTTCCTCACTTACAGCCAGCCAAAATTATATATTTATATAAAATATATAAAAATTCAAGAATATGTTACCAATCCCATGGAAAGTAAAATTAATTTAAGAATTCTCCAAAGTTAAATTTCATTTAACAGCAACTCCTCAGATAAGATTTTGTTTAATATTCCATTTAAAACTACAGCGCTCATTGAAATAATATCAAGATATACAATAACTTTATTAGTCATAAATTAAGTTACAGTAAATATTGACAATTGTGTTGTATTTATGATTTTATTTACTCTCAACCAACGTCAAGTAACAAAGTAGTAGAAGCAACTCCAACCGCACCTCCTCCGTTAGCGTATTCCGTATTCTGCTAGCCCCCATGAAACGTTACACTTGATTGTGATTTATACCAAGTGCTGCTGACAATTTGGCTTTTGTATCTTAAAATGATGGCCATTAAATTAATTAATTTTCGCTAAATGCTTAAGCGCAATTTTCAATTAAACATAAATTACCAAGCGATGGCAGAGTAAATGTTGAGCATAGGGAGGTTGGGAGACGGCCGTGGAACTGGTTTCGGCAGGCGTATATAAAAATAGCCGACAAGACTTAAGCCCAGCGTTTATCTCACAGATACATTTACAGAGCTACGCAGATACTAAACAAGCCACGACCTCTGACTGGCTGTTGGCCACAAAATTGCGAGAGTGTGAGCCAAGTGCCAGCATAGCAGGCTATATATGCTATAGAGAGATCTTATATAATGACCATAATCACAGAACAGGAAACAAACGCCCTTCAATTTGCCTGGTTAGCAAAGAGGCTCTTTTGGTTTTGTTTTCGGTTTTACGCTAATTTTATTTGCGGTTCTCAGATTTAACTCTATCAACACATTTTCTCATATTTTGCTTTGGCCAATTATTGTTGCTTTGCTGGTTGAGCGAATTTTTGATTTTAAATTGAATTTCCCTCAAGCAAGACAACCGCCAAAATAAAAAAAAAAAAACAATAAATAAAAAATCAATCAGACTCAGCTGCCTCTCTGGCTGCTTTCTAGTTTTTATTTGTTTGTTTTGCTTCTAGCTGAATTAGCTAATAAATTCCGCGACGCCTTGAGGCATTACATCAACCTCAACACCTAGTCAGTCAGATAGACTGACTGGTAGAACCAACAGCAATGACAAAGACAATGATACGTTTTAGTCATTATGCTTGGAACTGGACTTAGCTTCACCGGCGTCTTGATTGGAGCACGTTTCGTTCTATGTTCGAGTCCATAAAAAAGGCAGAACACGATAGAACATAACGAAACAATTTGCCATTATGAAATATGCGTAATTAAATGTTTTTTTTTTTATTTGCTGCCAATCACGGCTGATAAATGGCAGACAGTTAGCCTGACCACGCCCAAGACTTTTTGGACAGCTCAAGAAATTGCTCAAAACGCCTCCCGTTTTGGAAAGTGGCTCAAAAAAATTGCAAGAAGCCCAAAAGAGAAAGAAAAAACAATTAATTACAAAATGAAAACTATTTACGTTACGCTTCTTCTATTTGATATGTTTTGCAAAACCCGAGGAGCCAGCCATAGCCACTACCTCAGCCACGCCCAGCCTCTCCACACAGCTCCCTCCTTCTGGCCTTTGCCATTTCAATTAAAATACCATATATCATGCCAGAGCGAGAGCGAGAACGCGCCAGCTTTGCGCACATCGAATGCAATTAAAATCAAATGCTCGGCTCCATTTTCGAAATCAAAGCAAATCTTAAGACGATAAGCCTTTGCCTCCGAGACCACCCGGGCAATTGCTCTCTAAGGCTAGACACTTTCGTCATCGCCATTGCCAGTAATGTACACTGTCTTTCTCCCTCTTCCAGTTTATTTATAAATTACCTTTTTTTAATATTATACACATTTCGCAAGGCAAATGTAAAAGCAAAGCATGCATCTATGTTCTGTAGCAGAACTGAGATGCCGTTGAACCAGCACAACTTCAATTTAAACCAATCTCAACTTTAATATTAAAACTGAATTCCATCAACAAGGACATTAAAATCAGACCATACCATAAAAATACCAAGAACTTTTCAAGTCTTACTCGATCGAAATCAACTTTCAAATCTGGAAAAAAAATGCTTCATAAATACTCTCGCGGACTTATAAACGCCTCAGTCCGTCATCTCAAATACAAATCTTCATTAATTCTTCATCATTTGTAATACTTTCATAATACAGTCATAAAATTGTCTTCTACATTCTACCATGTATCAGACATAGGTTTCATGGTTCATCTTTAGAATTAAACCAATTTAATAAAGTATTATGCCCCAAAAAAAACATCACAAAACCTTCGACAGACTGTCCAGAACCATTCCCAAAATTTTTCGATTCAAAAATACGTTTCTGAATATTAAAAATGTTCTATATTTCTTATGATTTAAAAAAGAAAACACTGTTTATAAATTACTAAATTTGATTGTACAGGTTCTACACTTAAAAATAATAAAATACTAAAAAAAACTATTTAAATATGAGAAAAATTCAGTAATTTAATCTCTTCTCTTAACATTCTCAATCCTACAGACGTTCACAACTTCGGATTGACACCACAAGTTGCACCAGAGCAACGCTTGCAAATTGTTATAAAAATAATTCCAGCGTTCGTCAAACTCATCGGAAATACTTCTATAGAATCTCCATACTCTCAACACTGAATAGAAGTCGTATACAAATATGTGAATATCTGAAGAAATTCCTATTAAAATCTCGCATTTATCACCATACGTAATAAACTTAAAAAATAAAAAGCCACGAGCCATGCTCAACTTTAGTTCCTGGCCAATGCTGCCGTTGCGCTTAATTACGCCTTAAGTAGCCGCAGTCAATGTCTTTGGCATATATAGAGTGAAGGCCCAGTCAGAAATTGAAGACGACTTGAAACAGTGCCCACATTTGTGGCAGCTCAGGTTACCAGAGTTGAGGCTGTGATTTTATCGACTCTGGCAAATTTATGCAACATTCCATTGCACGTTGCGGCTACCGCTGCTGCTATCGAGGAAGTCCTAACAATCGACGCCTTTTTATGATGCTAGAGTCATTAAGGCGAAATCTAATTAACAGCCAGGTAAATTTATGAAATCGCCCTACACCTGCTTAAATTAACAAGCAGGCGAGGCGCATCAATTGCCGCGTGGCATGCAACATAAATTATACCAAACAAAAAGCGAAAAAAGAGAGCAAGGATCAAAATTGACAACTCGCAAGAAATGCAAAATGCAAAATGCATAAGAAACGACATCAGAAATCGTAGATGTTCCATGCTTTAACCGTATATAGCTCATTCTACACGGTTGCCTTTGGTAGCGTCGAAAAATACATCAAATTTGACATGCAAGTCCCGTTTGATATTGTTGTGGATACCAGGAAAGCATCTAGTTTATAAACACATTTGCCATGGATATAGCGCGCCTCTGTGCAAGACTTCGGCAACAAGACTTCACAAAATCATTTTAGAATACTTCAAGGTGATGCAGGATTTTAACGTAACGCCAGTAGCCCCAGTATTGATCGACTAGCCAATCAAATTAAACGCCTCTGTCTCCTCCCATCTGGTGCCCAAACATCAAAAATATGGCATATAATCGACAAAGCCAACGAAGCCAAGTCATATATCATTAAATAAATACGAAATGGTATTGGAGTTTTAGCCCAAACCAGTAAGGACTATCTTAAATATAGACCATTTCGAATTTCACTGCTACCACAGCTTAAGGAAGACCAGCCATATAGAGTTTGCTTCAAAGAAATTTACTCCAGCTCTTTAGTTCACGCTAATAAAAAGCTGAAATCTAAAAGGCCACAAGATCAGAAACGTTCATAAAATTGACATTAACTATGGAAAGTTAAAAAATATGGAAATTTAAATGTCAGTAAGGTACGATATACGATAGTAAAAATAAAAAACCTCACGTCCTGCTTAAGCACGGACTACTTCAGCAATAGCTTGCTCTAAGCCAGAGCTGATCTATTTGAAGTACTGCAAAAAAACTCTACGAACGCCGTTTTTATGAATTAAAGAACTTTAGTCACAAATTCCCTTCAACGAACGCCACACAAGTTTTTAATGTTCTTATTGCACAAATAGAAACTCTCATAAAAATATTAGACATCCAACAACCAGATATAAAAAAGAGTTGTGGAAAACCCCTACTGAGCTCCCACCTTTCCCAAACTTATTCGCACAAACAAATTAAACCAATTACACGTTAATCCCTGAGGACGTAGCGCCCTATAGGGATTTATAGCGATATCTACAAAACTATAAGTCATTGAACGACACAGCTAGGCTACACCCGGCTAGACTTACAGTGCTTGCAAATCTGCTCGCACATCTAATCTGACTACGAAAAACAACATTCAATAAAATCTCTTCACTTCGCGAACGAGTATAAAAAGGATACGACAACATTCAGACAACATGCAAATATTGTCAATCAGCAAGTTAAAAAAAAAAATACCCGTTATACCAGGTTAAAAAAGGAGAATAAAAGGAGAAAAAAGGAGAAAAAATAAAATTAAAAAAAATATAATTATAGTTAACAATGTTAATAAAAGGTTCATTGACTTAAGGATAGTCAACAACGCCGCACTTAAACCACTTGAGAATTGTAAGTGACGTTATATGAAATTTCTATTTGGCTTTGGGTGTAGCAGCCCTTTTGTATTAACCCTTTATAAAGTCTACTTTTAGGGCGGCTAATCACATACAAAAGAATTTAAACGTTAGATCAAATTAGTAGCTGCAGCCGCAACTGTTTTATGGATATAATTAAAAATATGAAATGTTATTAAAATTTTATTTGATGACTTAAGAAGCTGTTGATTGCACATCAAACTATGATCAGAAACAAAACCAAAATGCGAATATCTCAATTAGGCATCAATTAAATTTCGAAATGGCCATAATAAACAATCAAATTCTTTGGCTTAGTTTGACTCGCATCGCATAAACGCTGCGGATCACAAAACGTTCAAACACTCGCATGACTCGACTGTGAAAGCTTTTTATGAGCATTTTAGAGCGCCGTCCATATAAAGCTATTAAACAGCCATTAAACTGGCCCATAAAATGCTCCATATGAACTAAGTTCCTATCAATGGGTCTCGGGTCTCGGCTCTCCCTCTCTTTGGCTCATTAATTCCGTTTGCTATTCCCACAGGCTCGGTTAAGAGAGCCCAAAAACGGGGAGGCCCGACGAAGGCATGTAAAACGCGTCAAACGCATTTCGAATTAGTTTTGCTGTTGCCGCTCCAATTAAGAGCCAGCTACCCCCCATAACTCCTCTTCGAGATTATCTTAACAACCTGTTGGGGCTTGCCTTTTGAGGTATTCAACTAGTCTTAGAGAATTATGGGCAATGCGATAGGCCTCGCTTTCTAAGTGCTCTCGAATAAAGTTGAACTCACGTTTTGGCAGCTAGTTGCTGATGCTGATGCTGTTGCTGCTGCTGTTGCTGGCCATCAAACTTGGCCAATTGTTCTTCAATATCGCTTAATTGCATATCATCGGCAATGGCAATGGCTGTTGTTTCGCGCCTGCCACGCCCACCGGCCAACAATTGGTCCGGCTGCGCATTGTGCAGCCAAACAGCATTTCGATTCCGGCAAACATTTAAATTAAGTAGCTCGTTCAGTGGCAATTGATTGGGCCTGCTTCGATTTTGTACGCGCTGCAGCTGCTGTGGGCTTAGACAGCCTGTCAGCATGGCCACCTCCACGTCGTCATCGGTTTCGCCGTTGCAGGATATGCCCGATGAATGGAAATGTTCCTCCTGCTTGGCGGGCAAGCAATCGCTGGACAGATCGCTGCTTATCAAACTCGATTGCTGCGAGTGCAGAGCGCGTGCCAGACTAGGCGTAGCTTCTTCTAGGCAGCCCGGCGCAGGCAGCTCGAATGAGATGTCGTAGGGCGCCAGCTTGACCTTCGTTTTGGTCTTCACAGCAGACTTGACCAAGTGCCGCTGCTTGGAGCAGTTCGGCTTGAGTTTGCGTGGCGTCAGCTTGGTGACTGTTGATTGACGCGATTGATGTGTGCGACGCACGGTTAAGGCAGCGGCCGGAGTGGGAGCAGTAGCAGGAGCAGGAGCAGAAGCTTGAGCAGCTGCTGAAACATTTTCTTTGCGTTCTGTGGAACGTCGTCGACTGCGTCGTATGCTGGGCATATTGCGCGGAAACAATTTGCCAGCATCCGGTTGCGAAATTTTTGATACACTATCACAGCTCTGATTCCCACTGCCACTGCCACTCCCACTGCCGCTGCCACTGCCGCTGCTGCTGCTGCTGCTGGTATCCGTAATGGCCAAAACAGAGGCGCATTCGCTGTGTCGTATAATTTCGCGATGGTTTTTGTTGGCATCGTTTTGCGCATGGGGCAAACAGATTTTCCACCAGCGCTTCTTTGCCAGCAGCTTGGACATATTTGGAGCACAATTGAAGCTGCTGCCAATTAGCGCATCACAAATCAAATCAATTGACACCGTTGCACTGGTATGTCGACTGCACAGCAATTACTGTCCGCTGCAATTAACAGCCAATCCGTTTGTGCTAATTACGTGCGTAAAATCAATAAAAGAACGAGATATCGATCTAACTGAAAAGTAAATCGCGCGCAATTTTCACAGCAAGTGGCATGCGGACCGTGCGCCTTGAAGTCGCGTTCGCTACTAAAACAGTTGCGCGTGCGTAGAAAGTTGTTCAACAGCAGAAAGTTCAACACAGCAGAGCAGAAAGAGAGAAGGAGAGAGAGAGGGAGAGAGCGCGCGCACACAGGTTGATGCAGGTCAAACTCAACACACCCGGTTGAAATTCACCACACGATCCGGCAGTAGCGCTCGCTCACTCACAGACACACACACACACACTCGGTCTCTGAGCTGAGCTGCGCTGCGCTCTTATACGCTTAGCAAGTGCAGCTCTGCGCATAACAGGTGCCGGCTGAGCTGAGGGAGTGAGATGTGTTTGAGTTATAGAGCTGCATTTTGAGCGCTTTTTGCTTGTATTGTGCGGCCGCATTCTGTGCGCTTATTAAGCAGCTATTGGCGTGAGCGGCAGGCAGGCGCTACTGGTTGCCTGATTGTCTGCAGGCTACATTTGACACATTTCAGGCACTTAAGTGCGAGTGACCTATTTCAAGCAACCGAGCTGAGTTGAAGCTCAAGTGTGAGCACTAATGCTGCAGGGCTATGTTGTTGTTGTTGCTGTTGCCACATTAGCAACCTTACAGTGGGTAACATTATTATGTGTGGCACAGCCGGAAGGGTTGCAGCTTCAAAATCAAATTTCACTCTTGATTGACAGCTTCAAAATGCATAAGAGTGAAATTAGCTGCGGCTGCAAATGCTTTTCCGACTTTCTAAACTTTTCAGTCAACTCATGTTAAGATCTGAACATTTTCACCTGTAATCATGTCTATGAACTTACGTTTACAAGTCGCCAAGTGTCGTTTCCATTTCGGCTGGCCAGCACTGCAGAAATTGTTTGACTAACTGTAATGAGAACAAAATATGCCAATAAGCAAATAAATTAGTGAACAAAGTTTAAGTGTTTACGCAGGGGCGTAGCAGGGGCGTAGCAGGGGCGCGGCACGAGTTGCCTGAATTAAACACAAAAACGTGCAACTAATTGCCAGCAAAATAGCAAACAACAAAATAAACAAAACTCTACGCAAAAGTATTTTAATTACCAGCATTTGCAGTGTCAAAAAAACATGCCATGCCCGCTACCTCCCCCCCCCCCCCCCCCCACTCACCCCGCTAGCAAAAGTGCGTCAAAACTTTATTTGACAGTTACAACTGAACAATTCATGAAGTGAAATGCGCAAAACGAAACAATTTTGATTAAAACTTGCGACACGCAGCTGGCAGTTGGCGCTGTCAGCCAAATGTAGTTGACAGGGGGGAGGCAGTGTAGTATTACGTGCAGAATCTCTGACAATTGCCATTTGCGTTAAGTGCAGCGAGCAAGCGGGCAGGGCAACAGGTAAGAATCAACGTCATACAGAACAGACCAAAGCTAAAAAAAATAGAAAATATAAAACTCGCAGAGCCAACGACACAGCGAACGTTCCCCGACGCTGACGCCGACGCCAACGTCGACGTCACTGCAAAGGTCGTAAAAGTTGAGATTTTAACGTGCGCTCTACACGTGCACTCCTCGCATTAGTGTGTGTGAGTGGGCTAGAGAGTGAGAGTGAGAGTGAGTGGCAGTCAGGAGTCAGAGCTGGGCACTTGGGCGCAGCTGATGCCAAGGCAGAGCGACGCTGCCAGCGCGTATCGCAGCCAAGATGGCGTCATAAAGCACTAAAAAGTATTAAAACAATTTACACTTTGTAAAAACAACAGAAGCAGCAGGCGCCGCAGCAGCGACAGCGGATACAGCCGTTGTGTGGCTTGTTGCCTGCACGTGTGCGCCCAAGTGCGAGCGAGACAGCTACACTTACGTTTTGTGCTGTCGCTCGCACTTGATGTGTTATTAACATTCGGGACGTCTGTTTGCTCGCTGCTGCTTGCACAACATGGCGCCCGCTCTAACTGTCATAATCATAACGGTGCTATCAGCTCAGAATTGCGAAATGGCCGCTATGCCGTTGACAATCGCGTTACCATAATTCCGTTTCCTTCTTATTTTTTGGCGCTTATTTGCATAAACAGCGCGAAAGTCGCAAAGTGAAAAATTGCATGAAAATATATATAATATAATAGGAATCAGGGCGAATTGAAGTGGAAAAGGGAAAAGGCGGCAGCTGCAGCCTCGCCAAGCAGGCACTGTGGTTGAAATCCAAGTTTATTTAGTAAGAAATCTATATGCAAAGTTGACAAATTGAATTTGAAAAAGATTGTGAAAAGAAAATCATATAAATATATATTTTACAATATTTTTTTAAAGAAAATGGAGACATGGAAAATTCAATTTTAATAATTGGATAATGATAATCTTGCCTGCATTTTATGCAATTTTTACATCTCCAAATTGGTTTACATTATTAAGTTTGAAGAGTTCTCCTCTTGCCATTGTTGGCTGCATTTGACGCCATGGTGCGTCAGTCACAGTTATTCATTTTCAATGAGTCTACCGTTATATCCGCCACCATGCCACCAATGTGCCATATGCGTAGCCAAGCAAAGCCCTCAACCAATCCCCAGTCTCCTGCAGAACAGCGACTTCCTCTTAAGACAATAAGCAGTGAGCGTTAACTATGTAGATGGAGCTGATGCTGAGAGCTGAAGCTGAAGCTGGAATTGGAGTTGAAGTTGGAGTTGGAGTTGGAGCTGTGGCAATAACAACGGGGAGCCGTAACAATTGCAACCAGCTCAAAGAGCCAGCTTCTGTGTCGCTCAGTTTTTTTCTTCTTTCGAGTTTCCTGCGTGGGCGGCCCTAATGATGATGTCGCCTGCTGCTGCTGGCTGTGTATTGTTTGTTGTTGTTGCTGTTGTTGCTGGGGGAAATGTGGCGAAAGTCTCAAGTGCTGCCTGCCAAAGTCCCGTTATATTTATGAAAAATATTTTGTTGCATGAAGCGCGATGACAAAAACAAGGAGGCGCAATCATTGCGTTGATTTGCAAAATGGCGCTGATGACAGTCAGGGGACGTGGGCGTGTGCTTACTGATTTTTAATTAAAAAAGCAACAACAAGCAGAAGCGCAAAAAAAAGCGTAAAAAAATAATACACACAGAGAGAACTCCAAAGTGCGCGTCAGAAGGTTTCCTTTTGTTAATCGACTTGATTGTAAATATTTTCTTGTCGGCCCCCTGCTCTGTGCGGCTGTTGGTTTGCCTGTCATGTTGCTGCGCTTCTAACGGCACATTCAACACAGCCCCAGTGACAGTGCCACAGTGCCACAACCAGGCACAAATCTTGCCTTACGTCCCGCCGCCGTCCTTAGTCGCACCTTTACCCCACTGCGCAGCAGCCGCCCCTTTTTGCAACGCGTGTGTCGCAACATTTGCCTTTGTTATTTATGGCAGCATTGTTCTTCTCGTTGTTGTTGCTGTTGTTGCCTTTGCCTTCGTCCCTGCGCTGATGCGTTGCGCGTTTTTTCACGCGCCAAACTTCAGCTGGCTAGCAAAGGTGGGTGCGGCATCAGCAGTTTGTTTTTTGTCATTGCGTTTTTAATTTTGACTTTGACGCCGGCAACAACAATAATGTGAGCGACGCTACGTCTGTCAGCGACAGTTGAATACAATTTTTTTTTTATTTTTGGCAACAAGTTATGGCCACATAAAAAGCGGGTTATAAATAGAGAAGCGCACACACATAGCTAAATAGCAAAGTAGCATAAAGAAAACACATCTGATCTCTAGCCCACATTTGCATCTATCGAAAGGTAAAGTAACTGCAACGGTTGTAGGCCAACGTTTTGTAAGTCTTATTGCTGGCTTATGGTCTGTTTCTTTTATAGGAATACAAGTTTTAATTATAATTAAATAAGGAAATATGGTATATACATATCAATAAAAATAACATAACTAGATAGAAAACTTTATGACATTAATATTTAAATATAATTCCAGACATGTGGCCGACACGGCTGACATATACAAGAAATATCTGGAACATCTATGCTATGCTGCAGGTCTCTGCATAACGAAAGATCAAGCCAAACTCAACTAAAATAAAAAACTCGGATTGTCTAATAAAGCATTGATGCCAAAGTATTAAATAAATTTCTATAACATATACAAATAAATATATATTTATGTATTAGCTAATCTATTTTTGATGTGAAATATAATTTAGGGTTTCGTTTCACCAAATACAATTCAAGCGCAAATCTCTAATTGGAATTGTGTGCTTGGGCTTAGCAAAAAAAAAAAAACATTTTAAATTCTAATAATAAATAAAATTATGGACGTATGCAAAGTTATTATTATTGTTCCCATTATTGATTTTATAATTATTTTCTTATTATTTCTCAGCATTTTCGGATTTAAGTGGCCCAAATATATATATAATTAGAATTATCAAATCAAAATTGAATATTTTTAATGACTTTGTTCACACTGCTGATTAGTTTGCAGCGAGCAGTCAATTTGTGCAGTTTAGGCGTGAAAATAATGTTTTTATTTCGCTTTCTCATTATAGTTGCCTTTGCCATGCCCACTTTGAGTGGATACACAAGGCTCAAGTCAATGGAATGCCATGCAGTTGATCCAAAATTCTTACAAGTCACTAACTGCATCATTAAACCGATTCGACGCAATATCAAAGACGTCCATGTGGTTCTCAAGCTGCTGCAGGGGCCAGTGACAAATGCATCTGTAGGTCGTCTAGTGTTATGCAGTTGCTACATGGTATTCGATTATCTCTGAACACTTTACAGGTTCGTCTGGAACTGAAACAGCGCGGCTATAACAAGCCTGTTTTGTATGGATTCACTGTGGATGCGTGCCGATTTCTGGATGCCAACAATCGTAATACGCTGGCCAATGTTTTCTATAACTTTCTCAAGTTCAACGTTTACACAAACATGAATCATTCGTGTCCGTTCAGCGTGCGTATATGAGAATCAACTTCATATTGATGCTGTTTCGATTCCATATTGCAGGATAGCATCATCATCGACCACTTGCGCCACGACGAGAAATTCAGTTTGCCCTTGCCCTTGTCCATGGGCGACTACAAATTAATGACCTATTGGTATGCCTACAATGTCCTGCGCGTTACCATCCACGTAAACATAGAGACAGTAGCTTAAGCTAACCATATGGATAATGGATTACCATATATAAATGGATTCCAATATATAGTATATATAAATGGATATAATATCTATCCTAAATATGCTAATCCATTTATAATCATTTCCGATTTGATTGACGTAATTAAAGTTTTTTGAGCAACAAAAATCAATTATAGATCACGTTTACTTGATTAGTGCTTATAGATATATTATATATTATATATATATATATATATATATATATATATATTATTTTTATTATTTTTATATATTATTATTATATATATATATTATATATAGTGAAATTGTGAGAGTAAATTTTAAATTAAATAGTTGACTGATCAATATAATATATGCGTATTAATTTATTTCATTTTTTATAAATTTATAATAGATCTGTGAAGGGTCAGTCTAAAACTGTTGCAAACTTTCCAAGAGCTTTCAAACCTTAATCTGCAATTATAAATCAGAGCCATTCATATATAAAATTTACAAAATTTGTATACATCAATACATCAATACATATTTAAATAATACTAATCGCTTGACTAAATATGTCTGAAAAGCTTTCAAATTATTTTGTTTTCAGTCAATGGCTGATCAGTTCAATTTGTACTGCAATGAACTTCGCTTGTCAGACTCAACTCATTTGCCTCGCATTTTGTGTGTTTGCCACGCCCATATGGATGACAAAAATCAAATTATCCGGATTTCAATGCCAAAATATGGATCCCAAGTTTGGTATCATTCAGCAGTGCATCATTAAAGCGTACAGTCGCGAAATCAAGGAATTGAATTTGTATATAAAACTCCTGCGTGTGCCATTATCAAACGTAACGGTAAATGGGCCAATCATATGACTATATCTATGTCTACATACATATTATATAACCGATTGATTTCACTGCAGTTGCATACCGAAATGAAGCGTCGCTTTAGGTCCGCATTCGCCATGTACGACATTGATGGGTGCCGATTTCTGGAAAGCAAAAAGCGAAATCCATTTGCCGAGGCCATTTACAATTTCATGCACCTGGGCGTCTACTCAAACGTAAATCATACGTGTCCCTATGACGTAAGTCTGGCATAGCTCTAACTGAAAACATAACTATTTTTTACAATTTTTAATAACTCCAATTATATATATATCTGTATTTATACGTATAGCACGATATAATTGTGAATCGCTTGCGCATTGCTGATCATATTAACTTACCGGTGCCCATTAGCACTGGCGAGTACGTGATCACATCCTATTGGTATGTGTTGAACAAGCTGACACTTATTACGCATATTAATTTTATGATCTCTGAATAAGGAAACTGAACTTCAGAATAATAAATACAAGCGGACATCAAATGATATTGGCTTTTAAATATACAATATTTAGTATAAACTAATATATATTGATGGTCTATAAACTAACATTAATCATACACATTTACTGCCAATTTTTAAAATACTTTTTAACAAGCAGATCACAGACTAATGGCATTGATATAGTCTGTTATAAATATGTGTTTGAATATAAATATGTTTAAAATTTCAATCAACTTAAATGTTATTGAGGAACAAATTCTAAGCTGAATTTTCGCTGCTTTGGAAATATTACTTATCAGTTCCCTTTTACTATAATTAAGTCCGGAAGTATGCAAGCTGCAGTAAGAAACGACTTCAATATTATATAGCATATATATTCTACCTGAAAACTAATCTTTCTATTTTCTAGACTCGCCCAAGACTATCATAATCCTCATCTTATATATCCCACATGTGAAAGGACAAATTTTAATTTTTACAAATAAAATTCAAACGTTCATAAATCTGACAAGCCGTGATGCCAAACGCTGAGCCATGCATTATTTTGTGCATTTTTCAGCAACTTGTTGACAAGCAGTTAAATCATTTGTTGCTGCTGCCACAAGTGAAAGCATCAAGCAGCATTCACTAAAATGTCAAGCGCAGCGAAACCTTGCCACACACTCTCGTTGTGTACATAATTAAATGCTGTTGCATGTGACAGCGGCATGGATGGACCGTGTTGGACAAACCTTGTCAGACTCTTGCCTGGTTCAATAAACAGTTAAACACAGTCGAGCAACACCCTCAATTAAGCAACGTTGACAGCAAACAAATAAAATGGACACCCCAACTCCAAACATTGGCAAACATTCGACTCACAAAATTGCAACCAGCCACGCCCACGCTAACACCCAGCCGCCCTTTATAGCTGTGAGCTTTTATGAGCATGAGGAATTATGAATATTGCATGACATAAGAAACTTCTCCCAGCATCCACACAGAGCTCACATCAAATCAGTTCTAAAGACCCTCTAAGCAAGTGTGTCCTACGTCTAGGCTAATAAATGTCTCTGCCTGTTTGTTGTGCTCGTGTGTGTATGTGTCTGTGAGCTGGGTGTGTGTAAATAATTAAATTCTTAATTATCTCATGCCTCGCACACACTCGTAAACTCTGGTTAAGTCCTGCTGCCACCTGATTAGCCGCATTCAACTTCATTTACACTTTGCCCCCAACCGAAAAAGTTAAAAAAATTCATTTAATTAATTTTAATAATTCATACGTCACAAAAAAAAAACAAAAATTTCACACATGAAGACTTTTTGTCTTTAAAGCCAACGGAAAGTATGAAATGATGTGCCAGAGTACGTTAATGAACGAATTAGTATTCATTATTAGGTGTTCGCTTCGGGGCCTTGTCGCCAATGTTTTCCACTGCAATTTGCATAATGCTTTGCTTATCTATTTTTTACTGTGAGCGTGGGCGTTGGGTGGGCGTGGCCGTTGCAAGCAGTGTGAGTAAATTAATATAAATGACGGCAAACATTGTCATTTTAATGGCCCTAGTTGTAGTTGTCGTAAGTGTTAATGCTTAACTGGGAATTTGTGCTCTTATCCTAGTTCTGTATGAATTGCGTGTTACAACTCCTTGGGGATCAGACTATATAGATAACTATCTGACTAGAGCATGTAACATTAATGCTATGCTAGTTTTATTTCTGCCTTATAATTGCTATTGTGAAATATAACATTAATTTTATTATTTTTAAGCAAGCATTTCAGGGCAGAGAAGTGATAGCTTGAAGCCTTCATTAAAAGTGGAAATAAAATTTGGAAATATAATAGTCATGTTAATATTTTAACATGCATGTTAGTTTGTTTATTGGCTAAATTGCGTAGGAAATTTAATATCAATTTTGCTTTATATATTTCTATAAGGAATAAGCTTATACCTTTACTACAGCTCATTATGATTGAAGGAATAGATTATGCCAATTGAAAAAGTTTCTAAAATATATAATATAATATAGAATTATAGAGAATTTGTTTTTAATATTATTTGCTAAAATAAGAAGCATTAATGTAACCCTCTAAAATTGTATAAAAAATATAAGTCATGTTAATATTTTAACAAACATGTAAAGAAAGATAAGTAAACTTTCTCAATGACAGACTTCTCTAGAAATAGTAGAAAAAATTTAATTTAATATTTTTTGACATTAATGTTAGCCATATTTTATTTTTTAATGTAACAAAAATTAGTAATACAAATAAAGACCCTAAAAATCTTTCAAAATATAGAAAATAAATAAGAGAAAATATTAAATATTTTCATATCACTCCAATATAAGTTCACTCTGAAAACCTTTTATAACTCGAACTGTAAATATAAAATGCAATCCTAAAAATCCTTCAAAAACCTCTATACAAATAATATTCTATTTCAATAAACTTTATACAAAAAATTCAACCTAAATCAAACGCGAAATTCTTTTGAATTCCTCGCTGAATCATTACCGGAAGCAGAACTTAACAAAGTGCCAATTGACTGGTGTTGGCCTTTTGAAATCGGAGCTTAGACTGAAATTAGGCATTCATATCACATGACACCTGGCCAACTCATTACAGCAAACACAGCTGCCGCCCCTCTGAAGAGAGCCCCCTTTGCAATTAGCTGCCGTTCAGCCTTGAACATGCTTTTGTCCACTGTCAGTCGGTCGGTTGGTGAAAGGCAGTCCAATTGGTCGTTGAAGTTCATGAGGCTTACCTCGCTGACGGGTTGATGACTTCTAATCCAATTAGAAAATTAACTGGCAGCACGTAGTTGTCTCTACGAGTTGGCTGCGACTTGGCTCGTTAAGCAATTTACTCGAATGCGAAGTTTCTTTCACAATTTCAATTGACGACCGTCACTGGGTTTTCGGCTGAAGAGTGTAAATTCAATTTGTTAACATTTCAATTTTCACCTTCGTTATTCAATTATGCATAAATGCACACACACACAGAGAGACACACGCGCGCACACACACTTCAGAAATCAGCACGCGTAATGATATGCGAGGCAACAGTTCAAATCCGGGCACTTTTGCTTGAGCCCGGCGATGCGTTGAACTCGAAATAATTTGTTTTAGCTCGAATCCCAATTCAAAGTGCAACGAAGCGGAAATTTAGTCGCGTCCAGTTGCAAAGTGCAAATAAATTTGATTTTTATTTTTTATTTTCGCTGTTTATTTGTTTGTGTCCAAAACATGGAAAAAATGCACGCGATTTGAGGGAAAGCGATGCGAAGTGTCAAAAGTCTTGCGAATCCGCTTGCACGTTGTGTTGTGCCGCGTTACCAAACCGCAACTGATTTGCCATGGCCGAAAGCCAGAGACAAGGACACGCTGTCTGCCAGTGGCAACATGCCCGGAGACGTCAAGTCTGCCGAACCGAACCAATCTGTCTGTGTGCGAGTGTGTGTGTGTGCGCCTTAGCGTGGGTGTTTGAACCCATTGTTTTGGTTTGCCTTACAACCGGCTTCGAACCGCGTTGCATACGCACAGGCGCAATGCGAAATTTACTCTTCGCTTGCGTGAACTAAGAGCACGTTAAACTGTAAAACTCTCTTTCTTTTTTATTTTGCGTTCTGAGTGTTGCTAACTTTGTTATTCTATCAATTAAGTTTAAGTTAATAACTACAAAAATATCTTAAATTAAATTTCAAAATAATTAA